AGGTCGAGACTTGGAAAAATTGTTATACAGTTAATTATGAAATATCGCATAGTAAGAGTTAGCATTTTACTTTCAAACCAGCAGATGGAGCTTTAACCTTGCCTTTCATGTTTCAATCTTGCAGGGTTGATGTGTTGCTTTTTACAGGCTTCAAAAACTCAAACTGAAATCTACAGACGCAGGGGTCAATATTGACTCCACTCTTATTGTAGAGCTCAGTCAGTAGTTTCAGAGTCAAATTAGTGCCTCATGGCAGACAGCTTCTGATGTGCTGTTGCTTTTTAGCTTACCCATAGTGATCTGGAAATCCTTTGTCATTATAATCTGATCAATAACATTATGATCTCTGACCATATATAAAACTGACCTTAAAGTGACACTAAACTCAGAGTTGCTTCTTAAAAATACATTCAAGTATCTTAACTATTAACTAAAATGTTTCCTATTTGTATATCACTCGGCTGTAGATCCTCAAATCATCTCTGAATTGGTGCTGACACTGCCCTTCCTCCTGGAGGGTGGCTACTTTTGTTCCCCATGGTCCCTGTGTGTGTTGTAGAGTAGCCATGGCTCCAAGCTCGCTCTTGTGATAGACTACAACTTTATTACAAATTAGTAAACCAAATGTGAGCTTGTAGTCCATCACGGGAGCAGCTTGAAGCGATGACTACTCAATTCCAAAATTGGAATTTCATTTGACTTTAACATTCAAACAACCTTCTTCAAGTCTTTGATGGCATTATTGAATGTTGTGATGAGATTATTTTCTATTAAGGTTAATACAAAAATCTTCCTGTGTATGAACAGTTTAACAATACCCTCTCCAAAGATTGACATTGCTGCCTGCCGTCCAAGTGTGGCCCCTTTCCTCATTCACTAAGTTGAGCCACCCTTGACAGGAAGTGTGTTTCTGGCCAAATCATCAGGTGAAAATAAAGGAAATAAAATACGCCATTGAAGTAAATAGGAATCTGCTTAGCAGCATTTGATGCGAGCTTCGAATGCACATTAAATGCAGGAAAATACCCATCTACACCTGTATATTTATTATATACACACATGTATTACATCCTGTTTTCCAAATTGTTTTGCAGACCAAATAAATCACAGTGGCAGACTGTGGGGGTAGTTTGGCAGGGAAGGGGGTGGGTGGGTGTATGGTCCCACTGTCTAGTTAAACCACATCATGACATACAGTACATGTATGCCTACAGCTGCTGCAATGCTACGTAGCAGTTTTGTTGTGCTCAGAAGTAGTTTTCATAGCTTTTAGCAAATGACCTGTGACATCCCTGCTTGGACACATGACTTTTATTAAATACATACAACCATCTGGTCCACCACATACAGACATTAATATTTCTTGTTGAAATTCGTGGTCTGTTTTGAGGTGTATGGTATGTCACAAGTGGATCAGATTGTCACATTAGAATTGCCTACTGGCTTGCCAAGTCGAAAGAATTGTCTCTGACTACCCTCGTTTCTAATATGAAATTAGTCACAAGTGATAAAATTGAACTTTAAAGACGCAGTCCATCCAAAGCTAATAGTTCATTTTTTGATAGATACTAGAGAGTTAAAGGGAAAGTATAATACATTTAAAATCTAAATAATTTCAGTTTTTTAAGTTTAGTATTTACGTTTTTTGTACATTGTATCTATTAATTATATTGATGAAAATATCAGGTAGGGTCCTAGGCTCCTTTTTTATGCTTACCTGTCTCTTCTTAACTGCTCTGTTAAGAAAGCTCAATATACAGAGCTCAAAAGCACAAGCTAAGATTTACACAAAGATCTGAATGACACGGAACTGTGACTCCTTACCCACCTCCCTCCCTGTCCTGCTCGATCTGTTCATTTGTGGCTATATAAAGTTCCAATCAGAGAGAGAGAGAGAGAGAGAGAGAGTCTGAAGCCAAACAGCTTCTGCTATGCTTTAGAAAATGCATGTGAAGCCTGTGCCACGGGTGCACTCTGCATTAAAAAATGCACTTGTAAAATTATATATATATATATATAATGTATTCTGCCCTTGCTAATCTTAAAATGCTTGTTGCCTGACAGTCGTTTGCATCATATTTCCCAAGTCCTAAAGGAAAACTATGGGGTAAGGGTTTTTTTCCCCCATAGTTCTCTTAATGGTCACGGGAGGACATATACTCGCGTCCTCCCGTGACCCAAAGCTCAGTATATCGCGAGCTACAGCACATACCGAGCGACGGTATGCGTTCGCTCACTTCCCGATCTATTGAGCTGACGTGTGACAGCTTCATTGTCCCACGTCGGCTCAAACTATGAGGATGAGTGACTTTCACTCGCCTCATAGTTCTCCTTTTAAGCTTGCATACTTGTCCTGGGCCTCTGACTTTAAAAGAAAGCTACTTGCTCAGCATGAAAGACAGACAGTTAGCATTTATAGAAGGAGAAATCTACAATGGCAGCCTACATATTTCCTTTTAACCTTAAGGCAAACCTTGGTTCTTAACTGTTCCATTTCAGTGTCTAGTCACTCCGACTTAGAAGTTCATTTGTGATGTCACCAGCTACTTATATTTTTCAACAGCAGGAAACATAAGACAGATTTATGATGGTGAACTGGAGATATGAAGGTTACAAATCACTACAAAATAAATTTATTTTAAAAATGTGCACTTTCAAAACAAAATCTTAAGCAATCCAGGAACATTTTCTTTTCAGAGTGCAGAAGAAAATACAGCTCTCTGAAACATAAATTCAGCAAATCCAGGCAGATCTGTAAAAGAAAAGGCTTCTGTAGTTTGCCATGCTCTGACTGGAGATTTAGAAAGACCAAAAATAACAAGAGACGACAAGTTCCGTTTAAACATATGGCTCATACCTTACATACAATTATGTCTGCACGACAAGCGATTACTATGTTCTTAAGGGTGGAAGAATGGGATGAGATGTTTTTCTCTGAAGCTAAACTCATCAACCTCTCTCTTAACCCTAGCAAACCACAATCACTGCATTAAGCTGTCAACCCTTCTCTAAGACTATAATTCCACGTGTTTCCTGTGAATTCAGGAGAAGCTTGGGCTGTAACCTTCCAACTACACTTCTCCCTAAGGAACCATAGACATAGAACATTCATTTCACTGGACTGTGCCAGTGGAGAGCTTTGACCTTACTGAAAGGTTGCCCTCATGAAAAAGAGTTATACCTTATACAGCCTCGTATAGAAAGCATCATAAAACCCATCTTCAAAGGCCATTTAATGAACCTAGACCTTGTTTGGACTCTAAGGAATACTGTTCAGCTCCGAATCCGGACTACTGTTTAAAAAAAAAAAATCACAAGATTCCTTCCCAGCAGACAGACTTGCATATGAAATGTACATTTTACAGAACACTTCTTGTAATTCCAAAATGGAATGATCAGACTACAAAGAGAAAGTTCCCGGGGTTTTTAGAACCCCCGAGAGTCCATTTAAGAGCATACTCCGAGTTGCAGGTGGGACAAACGTTTCATGGACATTTATATGGTTCCTTTCAAAATTCCCCCGAAAGCGTTCATAAGAGCTTTTTTTTTTAAAATTCAGCTTTTTACTTCCCCCGCTCCACATCTTTTAGCCTCCGTCGATAAAAACAGAAAAGATATATAAAATTGGAAATGATTTACAGCCTGCTTTTTGATGGCTCAAAAGGCATCAGTGTGTAAGAGTGAACGTGCAATTAACTTTTTAAAGCGCTCTATTTTCGACTATAACTTGGAAGATTTAGAACACAAGATCTCTGTCCAATTCCCTCCAGGCCTGTAAAGTTCACCATACTTTTGTAGTTCTGCTGAGGCAAAAAAGTGTCAAAAAATAAATATTTTTCCCTCCTAGCTGTTTGCTGGAAAATGTGTGCTCACACCTACGGGTGATATGCAAGGTTGGGTTTCAAGATGTTGGACAGGGATTGGAGCCTGCAATGTAACAAAGTGTTTCGGAGAGTTGGAGAATAAAGATTAAAGCGAAAAAAGATAAAATATTTGAGCACAGACTTCATTGATATAAAATAGTGCTCCGTGTTTGTCAGAACTTTATCAGAATTTTGTTTCCATTATCAGGCATTGCTTGAGCCTTTTACATACACATACCTTGATGTCCTAAGCCTTGCCTGGCCACACTTCTTATACCCAAGTAGGGGATGGACGAATTAAGTTCAGTTAAATTGATTTTGCCATTGGTGACATTTTTCAGCATCATAACCTCTACAGTTTGTCCAATGAGCTGCTTAGATAAAACTTGCTTTTAAATGAAAAGTCCTGCTATTTATTTAGGGGGTGTATGTTTTTTTTCAGGTTGTATTTAGAGTAGTTTAGTTTCGTTTTTCATTTAGTCGTATTTTGATTGGTTCGTTTTTTTTTCCCTTTCTGTGTATTTAATGAAGATTTGTGTAGTGTCACTTCAAATTTTCATTTATTCAATATGGTTTTTCTTTTTTGTGAAAAAATTTAAAATAATGAGGGACTATGTTTTGGCGTAAGAACAGGTCCAGGATAAATGAAAGGAGCTCCTGTGACCATCAGAAGCTATTTAAACTCCATTGTACTGATACGAAACCGTGAAAAGCTACCTTACTTTCACCTCCCTCTGTTGACTTCAGTGCAGTTGGCTGTTGATTTCAGTGCAGGGGGAAGGGTGCCGTCACTCCCTCTGTCATGTGACAGCACTTGGGTTAGCGATTGGAAGTGTTATGCTGACCCACTAGCTTTGCAAAATTGAGTCAATGACCCAGAACAGATATGCAGATAGGGACAACTGACTTTATTCTGATATTTTATTTTGACTGTGCAGGTGAAGTATGTGACGGACCGCCTGGTACCCCGACTGGGTACCTCCGTCAGAAAACAGCTTCCTCTCCGCTGGAACCCGAATCCCAGTGTCCTCAGCCCAAACCTGCCTAATTATTGGACAGAACCAATATATTAGGACAGAACGCTAACCACTCAAGCATTAGACAACACCAATGTTGAGGTGGAAAACAAGATCTGCATTTAGAAGAGGACGACGGTGAAGCAGACGGCGGCTGTGATCCCGATTGCCATTATTACGGCTTCTGTATCATAAAAACTGGCGATCATTCCAACCATGTAAGAGAGGCTGAGGGTCAGGATGGACAAGGCCACCAGATTCCAGGGGTGTCGGCGCCGGAAGTTGCCACAGCAGCTGAGAGTGATGAGAGAGCAGAAGAAGATGGCATAGGACAGGTAATAGGTCCATGTGTTCCTCTGCACATATTCCCGGACTTCCTTCACAAACGTAAAGACGGCCACAAATGCAAACGTGACCAGAAGCTGAGCCGTGAGGACCAGGAAGACCTTCCGGATAAAAGCTCTGCGAATACTTTTATCATCCCAGTGGCTGGTGGGGAAGTCCGGGTTGTCACAATAAGAGGGGGGTCTCCATAGTTCTGGTCCATAGTCAGTTGGAAGGAGGCTAGCCCTCAGGCTCCTCCAGCAGCCCCAGTGACGGTTCAGTCCGTCACAAAGTACATACTTTCTTTTTAGTCAGTGGCTCAGATGCTATTGAAACTAGGTGGTCAGCTAGACACCTGGAATTTTTAGACTAAGCTCAGCAATGGCAGCCCCCATTTTTCAGAAAAGGTTCACTTTAAAGTCAAATCCAGGCATATTCACCTCTCTGGATCCAACCATATTCACTGACCGCTCTACAGCTTTCATCTTCTAGATTTGTATTATTGTGGCAGGTGGGGAGAATAAATGCAAGCATATACAAAGGAGGAGCTTAGGCTAAAATTCTTATATTTGAAGTCCTTTATATTATCTGCGTGGAGCATTTCAAAAGTGAAAGTGATCTTGTGTAAATCTTGTAGTATTTATAGCTGTCCCACCCCAGCCAAAAACAAGAAACTCAAAGGGTCTTCTGGCATGATGATGATATGGGTCCTTTCTCTTCACTGCCAACAATAGCATGGGAGTGGTCCTTACTGCTATACAAGGAACGCTCACATAATGAGTGCAATGCAGATATCTTATTATTTAACCAGCCAGCATCAATTAACACACTTCCTCCTGCTGCCCCACAGAAAGCAGGTCCATGAAAACCGGGGCTCAGAAGAATTGGATGAATTGACACTGGCTGTCATTTAGCCTGGGAGACTGAGGACATCTAGGGTCAGAAAGCACATGGATCTAATTTCCAATTTTGTCCAATTTTGACCTGTGGCTGGCCCTATTTCCTCGACAAAAGTTGATGGTTGGATCGATTTTTGTCAAAAGTAAATGTTGGAAAATGGGCAGCTGTCAGAATACATAAGACACAGTTGGAGATTTGTCCCACCATGCTGTTAGTGTGGATGGGGTAATCTGTCAGATGTAACTTGCATACTTGATTTGGCATTACTGGAAGATTGGTCAAAGCAGTGGACACTGCAAAACAAAGAACAAAACAGAGCGCCTCCATAGTGTAAAGGGTAATTTATTTGTACGGCACACAGCTGAAATTATACTTACAAAAAGGTTGGTAATAAAAAGCATGTAAGAGACAATGCAATTTAAAATCTCTAGCAGCGGGAATCTGACGAGATGAAACAAATCAGCGTCCTCTGCCCCTGTGAGTTCAGAAGGTCTACGCGTTTCAGGGGCACGCAGTTGCATTATTACCTGAAAATGTCAGTCCTATCATCCCCATACAGCCATACTCAGACTGAGAGAGGGACGGGCAGCACTTGTATCCAGTCAGGCTCTTCTGTATGTACATGTGCTGGAAAAGAGAAGGTGGAATGAGCAGAGTTGATGACTTATTAGTGCATTGCTGCTCTTTCATTGCCCAATCAGGAGGCTGCATGCAGGGAGCTGACACCACTGTATTGCTTAACTCTAACAGGGTCACTGGTGTCACTCTTATGGTTGTCCTGTCTGGAAAAAGTTATAAACCTCACAAAAAGTCTATTACATAAGTTACAAATCTTTGAGAGCTAAAACTGTTTTGTGTGTATTTAGCGGTTTGCCTAGAGTTCAGTTCTAATTTGCCTAGAGAAAAAGATTTTTAAATGATGTCTTAAACTAGTGCCGACAACTTTTCTCTTTTTGATTATCACATAAAATAAAAATATTTGCAATGTCACTTTTGGCATGTGGTATGTAAGAGCTGAGCTTAATGAATCAGAAACTACGCTGGATCTACCTACTGTACCTTCCTACGGCCTCAAAGCAAGACCCAATGGGTCACCAGCTCTATCAGGGCCCTAATCTAATCCTAATGGATGCTATAAAAGTAGCTTTTCTTCTTTGAGAAATAGATCTTTACACCGTAGAAAAGTCTTCATCATGCGCGCCTCCTAATTTTCCATTTATTCATAAATATGACCTGAACTCTGTAGATAGAGAAGAATAATATTTGTATTGGATTAAAAATGAACCCATAATAGACTCCGAAAATAATTCTTGATGAGGGAATGTTGTCACTGACTCTTTTGGAAACTCGGATTGCTTCATATTTTCAGAATGTACAAACCGCTAATTTTTTGTCTGGAGAGAAGTCCCCAAACAAAGCTTTGTCTGGAATATATTATTCCATGTTATGAGTAGAGGGGGAGGGGGGACATGAATGTCGGCTGAATTGGTATATATGGAAAGCCAAGAACTTGTCAAAGCTACTTAAATCTGCCAAAACATATAAATGTTTTATACATTACTAGATCTTCAACGTATGTTTACCGAATGGGGAAAACGATAGGGTTCCACAGGTGAGACTGCTCCTCATTTAGCGTTAAAAGGATGGAAAAGTAAACTGTAAAATACACATTGATTTATTTTATCAGGCAGTGGAAAGAGCAGTAATTCAGAGCAACCAATCGGATGTCACCTTTCAGCAGTTTAGTGAAGTCCTAACAGTGACACATCATTTATAATTGGCTGCTACCGATTTATTGAACTTTTTATATATTGCTTGTCCCCAAAAAAATTGTTGTGAACTATAACTCCACCACAAAATTGGATTCTGTAAGGCAGAGGTGGGAAATATTCACAGCTGTAAACTGAATTGTGGACATTCGGCTAGCACAGCTGCAATGGAACATTTTTCCAACATATTAAAAAATATTCTACAAAATAAACATGCAAACCCAGCTATCCCTGATCGTAGACTTTTTAATACAGCACAACTATGCAAACCCAATCTATCCCTGATCGTAGACTTTAATACAGCACAACCATGCAAACCCAATCTATCCCTGATCATAGAATATAATACAGCACAACTATGCAAACCCAATCTATCCCTGATCGTAGACTATAATACAGCACAACCATGCAAACCCAATCTATCCCTGATCGTAGACTATAATACAGCACAACCATGCAAACCCAGCTATCCCTGATCGTAGACTATAATACAACACAACCATGCAAACCCAATCTATCCCTGATCATAGAATATAATACAGCACAACTATGCAAACCCAATCTATCCCTGATCGTAGACTATAATACAGCACAACCATGCAAACCCAATCTATACTGATCGCAGACTATAATACAGCACAACCATGCAAACCCAATCTATCCCTGATAGTATGATTATAACAATACAAAACAACTATGCAAACCCAATCTATCCCTGATCGTAGACTATAATACAGCACAACCATGCAAACCCAATCTATCCCTGATCGTAGAATATAATACAGCACAACCATGCAAACCCAATCTATCCCAGATCGTAGACTATAATAGAGCACAACCATGCAAACCCAATCTATCCCAGATCGTAGAATGTAATACAGCACAACCATGCAAACCCAATCTATCCCAGATCGTAGACTATACAGGTGAAACTCGAATAATTAGAATATCGTGCAAAAGTAATTGCAGTAAGTGCTGCAAAAGGGGCCCAAACCAAGTACTGAGTACATATGCATGCTTGTACTTTTCAGAGGTCCGATATTGTTCTATGTACAATCCTTGTTTTATTGATTGTATGTAATAATCTACTTTTTTGAGGTTGTGGATTTGGGGTTCTTGGGGTTTTCATGAGCTGTAAGCCATAATCATCACAATTATGACAAATCACGGCTTGAACTATCTTGCTTTGCATGTAATGAGTCTATCTTATATATTAGTTTCACCTTTTAAGTTGCATTAGTGAAATAAATGAACTTTGCACGATATTCTAATTATTCGAGTTTCACCTGTAATACAGCACAACCATGCAGACCCAATCTATCCCTGATCGCAGAATATAATACAGCACAACCATGCAAACCCAGCTATCCCTGATTGTAGACTATAATACAGCACAACCATGCAAACCCAATCAGTCCCTGATGGTATGATATAGTAAAACACAACCATGCAAACCCAATCAATTCCTGATGGTATGATATAATACAATATAACCATGCAAACCCAATCAATCCCTGATCGTAGACTATAATACAGCACAACCATGCAAACCCAATCTATCCCTGATCGTAGACTATAATACAGCACAACCATGCAAACCCAATCTATCCCTGATAGTATGATTATAACAATACAAAACAACTATGCAAACCCAATCAATCCCTGATGGTATTATATAATACAACATAACCATGCAAACACAATCTATCCCTGATTGTAGAATATAATAATACAAAACAACCATGCAAGCCCAATCAATACCTCATGGTATAATATTAATCATACAAACTAACCATGCAAACCTAATCTACCCCTGAAAGTATACTATAATAATTCAAAATAACCATGCAAACACAGTCAATCCCTGATGGTATGATATAATACAACATAACCATGGAAACCCAACCAATCCCTGATAGTATGATATAATAATACAAAACAACCATGCATTCCTAATCAATCCCTGATCATATGTTAGCCCAGATAGTAACAATCAGGATGACAAGAAAATACATGTATTACCATGAGGGCTTAGGTTGCACGCTCACAAACTTTGGTTTAGAGGACAATATAGAAGCCCGTGTAGGCGAGAAGAAAACAGTCCACCTGGACAACATGGCGCACGCACACACACAAATTATATATATATATATAAATGTATTTTTATTTTTTTGGGGTAAAACAGCAATAAAACTAGACTGACTCAGTGGAAAAAACATGAGATAAACCAAAGTCATGTCAAATGTTAATGTTTTAGATTCTTCATTGCTCCTGGAAAAAAATGCTTCAGCAACCACTGTCCTAACCACAAGGTCATTCATCCCCCTTTACCACAGTTAGTCATTCAATCAGAGACAAATAAACAACCTTGTGCTGTAGTGGTTTTATGAAGCAAATGTGGCTCCCCATGAAATCAAAAGCTCTGGCTGCAGAATGATTCAAGTTTGACTGCAAACCTTTGTGACATATGTACTGGAAGAGAACAGTGATCTTCCTTTAAAGTTTACTTACTATACTTTTTTTTTTTTAATGTATGAAAACTTAGCAAATGTGTTGGTTGCATTATATTTTTTAGGCTTTTTTTCCCCTTTATTTTCAGCTGGTGATCCGGCCAGAAACACACTTCCTGTCTGAAGGTGCCCACACACCTTAAGATTATCGTCCGACTTTCGTATGCGATTGCGTTTTCGTCCGATATTCGTAAGGTTGATGGGCAGTGTACAACCGCAAATACTGTACAATCGATCGACTTTTGACTATCCAGCAGGTTGGAAAAGTTTGGTCGACAGTATGATTTTCGCAAGGTTGGTGGCGTTTCCGTACGTCAAAATTTGTACGATTTATACTGCTCATGCACAAACGGAAATACGTGCGGTCGATTACCGCAATTCGTCCAGGTGTTTTTTTAAATTGCCGCTGATTGAACCTTGCCATAATCAGGGCAGGATGGGGCCGCCGTGCGAAAATGGTACGACGGTTCGATCATCGGATGAAAAGTTTTGCCCAATGATCGCAAGGTGTATGGGCAGCTTTAGGCTGGGTTCACACCTAGGCGGATTGAATATGCACGTTTTTCGCACGTTTTTTTAACCGCGATTCGCGGTAAAAAAAACGCACAAAAAACGCGCGTTTCCGAGGGATACTTGGCTGTATCCCAATGGAACCGCCCGACCAAAACGCCCTAAAGAAGTACATGTACTTCTTTGGGCGTAGGGCGGTTTCCCGCACGTTCGTACTCGCGGAAAACCGCACAGATGGGAACCATGCACATTGAAAATAATGGCATTTCCCTGTTTGAGCATTTTTCCGCGAGTACGAAAGCGCGGAAAAACGCCTAGGTGTGAACCCAGCCTAAGGGTGACTCCACTCTATGGAAGAGCAATGTAGCCACTCTTGGACAGCAGCATTGTCAACCTGTGGAGAGGGTAGTATTAAACTGGCCATACGCTATAGACTTCTAGGTTTTGTACAAACGTTCATATGAAAAATCTCATCGCAACGCAACTATAATGCCGTCAGAGATTTGTAGAATGTTTGAAATGTCATTTAATTTTAATATTCGATATTGGAAATCAATGGGGTTTCTTGAATGATAACCACATTCACGGTTAGAATTCAGTTTGAAAAGTTTTCTATCCTGCTTGACTTTTTTTTTTTTCTTTTCCTCCTGCCACTACAGTTGAAATGAATTGACAATGTAACCCCAATAAATAACTATCAGAAAATCGAATGAACATGCTGACATTTTTTTTTTCAAATTTAGACAACATTTAGACTCGACTAACAAATTAAATCGGAACTCAAGTTAACACTTTTTAAACCGTTAAAGCTGTTTTTTTTTATTCCTTTAGGGATAAAGGTTTTACATAAATTAATACAAGCTGTCCATTGTAAGCACCCCTGTCAGGGTTTCCCTCAACCCTCTATCTACCACTTTTGCTGGACAGCTTGGCCTGCTAAAGGAAGCTGAAAAATAACACTTATTGGCTGGATCACCAGATGAAAATAAAGGCTAAAAAAGAAAATGAATGCAGCCACCACATTTAAGGATTGGTGTGCTGTAGTGTATTCATTTTTTGCTTTTGGGGTTTGATACACTTTGAACCTGTTTTAGAAAATGCGGTGTATATTGTCTCCAAGTAACTTAGCTGGGTCAGAATAGAAAGGTTCAGCACTCAGGCATTGATCTTATAGGATTGCTCAGGAAGTTGGTGGGGTCAGGTCAAGGCATAACTAGTGACCTTAGGGCCCCGGTGCAAGAATCCATGAAGGCCCCTCCCACAACCCCAAAAAGGAAAAAAAATAGATTGTTTAAAAAAAGAAGAATTTAGACAAAAAAAACAAAAACACTCTCCTCTTCCATGTCTCCAGCTCCCCATTATCCCCCCTTCATGTCCCCATAACCTCCTCCTTCATTACCCCAGCTCTCCTCTCCCTGACCTCACACTCTCCTCTTCCATGTCCCCAGCTTCCCCCCATCTCCACCTTCACGTCCCCAGCTTTCAGGTCCCTGACCCCACACTTTCCTCTCACATGCCCCCTTCATATTCTCAGCTCTGTATATCTCCCCCTTCATGTCCGCAGCAGATTTCTCATACCCAGGGAGTTGGAGCTTTCAACGGCACACAGGCAGCTCTATGGTGTGCAGCCGTTCTGTGTGATGAGGGGGCGGGAATAGCTCCACTTTCCACTCATTGGCTGCTTCATCCGGCTCGATCATACTTCACGCTGCGCCTGGCCGGAACAAGGTGAGCAGTGTGAAGCACGAGGGGCCCAGGACAGGAGGAAGAGACCCCGATATTGATATTAGCGGTTACCGGGATATTAAATATCCTGGTAATCAGCGGGTACTAGGGGCCCCATCCTCCTGTCCTGGGCCCCTTCTAAGTGGTGGAACTCCAGGGCCCGGTCGCATCTGCGACCCTGGTAGTTCCGCCACTGGGTGAGGTCGAAACTAAGCGTTTGTGGATAAAGTTGAGATCTACATGTGACTACAGCTGCCCATATCTCTTGATTGTTTTGACAGGTTTTTTTCCCAGCATATGCTAAGTTTCAATTGTCCAGGTTTGTGTAAGGTTCACTTTAAAGCTGCTCTCCAGGCAAACCGCTAAATACACATGAAATGCATAGATAGGATCTCTTACCTGCCAACGGATTCTTATTTCTGCCCATCCAGTTTCCACAGCACAATGAGGTGGATGACACCATTTTTTATTGTTTTGCAATTCCATAGTGTAGAAGCGGTACAGTGGTGTCCTCTCATTTACCAGCCTGCTGAATAGACTGTAAAGGATGAGTTGGAGACCAATAAGCTAATTTTGCTATCTACCCCTACCAGCATTTTCCTTGTGAGAACATTTGCTTGCGGTACACGTGATTGGCTCCTAGTGTCGGCTCTGCTGTATAGGGGATTGGGATAGACTGATACCAAGTCAAATTCACGTACTTACACTAGTTGCATTTTAAATAGGTGTAATGATGTATTAACGAGTACAGAGCTGCATTAATTTGTAGTTCAGCTTCCATCCTTTGGCTGACACCAATGTAGATACTACCTGTGTGGCAGTAGCAGGACAAGTCCCGGCTGTGTGTTTTATTGTACATGTGATTTGGGAGGCTGGAATGCCACCCAATGATTTCTAAAAGACAGTGTGGGATTATGCAAATGTCATGTGACTTAAATCATGCAGCTACCATCATTTTATTTGATAGGTCCTCAGCTTTCAGAATATATATTTTGTTTCGGGGGTTTTAAGTAAGCTTTCATGCCAAATTGGTCCCCACATAAAAGGGTTAAAGAGCTACTTTTAGTGTTTTCAACAGCTCTATAATAAAATTCTGTCGGCGCAGGTATAGCCAGGCTATATGGTCTACCAGAAGTCCTAAAGCACTTATGTCAAATACAAGGCCCGCAGGCCAGAAATGGCACCACACAAGATTTTCTTCTTTTTTTTAGGCCGGCCAGTCCCGAGCTGTGCCGGCAAGCAGGGTTCATTTTTTTTGTTTTATAACAAGCCGGCGCTTGGTTCTGCAATTTAGCCGGCTGCCCTTTGAGGATCCCACACCATTGAGCAACAATCGGGGGAGTGCGACTTACCCGGATTAAGAGATGGTGGTTGGTGGCCTCCAGCAATGCATCAGCTGGGCACATATCTGTCCCAGCCACCACACTCTGCTTGCCAGCACCTGTTGCAGCGGGGATCAGAGGATCTGGTGAGCCTGGGTGATGGGTAGCTGTGGGCTGGAAGTGGGGGTGAGAGAGTAGCAGGAAAGGGTGGAGCAATGCCAGGGGGACAGTAGGCTGTATTAGGGTGCTATATGACAGTTTTCTGATGCCTTCATCTGCAATTATTGTTTCTGACCTCTGCACTGCATGTTACTCCTGACCTCTGCCATTGTATTGCTGGGATTCGTAGTCCTATATAGCTGATGGTATTATTATGCATTGCTGTATAATGTATTGCTGATTATTTCCAGTCCCTGTCTATTAAATGACAATCTTGGTGTCCTGTGTGTGAGGTTACTACAAATGTTGGCAATCCTTGTCTATTTAATGGACAGGGACGGCTGACACTTAAATTGCTCTCACACAAAGCACACTAGGACTGTCATATAATAAGTGGGCCCAAGCTTTGTACCGCGGGGTTTTTTTTTCTTCTTCTTTACATCCGAACCCTGATTTTTTTCACAATACTCGGCATTGGCCCTTTGTAAGTTTGGATTTGACACCTCGGTCCTAAAGACTCATGCCTTTTTATATTCTTTATCACATGTTAATTTTCCATGTCTTAAGAGGCTAAATGACTACAAATATCCAGTAAATAAAGACACACACCTTTTTATGAAAAAATTAATTTTAATAACAATTTTAAGTTCACAAGATGTACATATATATTTAAAACATAATTGCATAGAAACATTGTAGCAGCATTGTAGTATCAGGAGGATCATTTTACTTGTAAATCTTTTAGTGAAGCTACATTAATCACATAAGGCAACTATGATGTAAAATGTCAAATACTGTGCACTTCCAGACCAAAAGTTATTGAAATGGGCTTAATAGGGCTTTCTAAAATAATGATGTGGGGTAAAGTCATATCTACAGTAACATGGCAGTAAAAATCCATTTTTTATTATAGACACTAAAAGGCCCAAGAAGTCCACCCTAATAAAATAGCTGTTGGATGCAAGTTTGTGATCTTACTGCAGAATGACTGTCCTTAAAAGAAATAGAATACATATATGTAGACATATAGGGTTGTATCACCATCATATCCAAGCAGAGGAGCCATGTACAAACGCTTGTCAGGTGCTTGGTCTTGGAGAGGCAGTGGATTGTCATTAGGTAATCACTTCTGGCTAATCAGTCAGCATGAGGTATCTGCTACAACATCAAGGTACCTATAGACTTTAGATGTATTGCCCTGATCGAGTGATGATCCTCTCATGAACATGGTTACATTATGGCTGAAGAGTTGGTTACCAGTTAGGTTTTCCATGAAAAAGGAACCCCACTGTTCAACAGCACTCCCAGTACCACAGCAACAACCTACAGTATATACAAGCTGTATCTATCAAAAGACAAGTAATGCACCTTTTGTCTGTCCAACTGTGCTGAGCTATATAGTTGCATACTATAGGCAGGCTGATAAAAGTTAAAAGCGAACCTGTCACTTTGCCCTCTCTTGCTGGTCCCCTTCCCCTAAATTAAGTCCTGTGTTGTGTAAGGGGAGCTTATCTCACCCCATGTGGCAAAGTTTGGCCCTAGTGATTGGCTGCTCAGACACTGCATTGACAGAGGAAGGTGAAAGCTACCTGCACCCCCATACTGTTTCCAAGAACAAACAGCAGTGGGGAGCATATGGACATATCAGAACACAGCAGAAAGTGCCATCAGGAGAACCTGACCCTTTCCCCTGAATGCACAGTGACCAGTGTCCTTTAACTCTACAACCAATCTCCCCTTGTGCCAATGGCCTACCTCCTTCTAGCTTTGTGAACTCCTAATGTTGATTTTAATGATACCATGCTAGAGTTCTATAGTATACATGTTCATGAACAACCATCTTTGTAATGTCTGAACGGAATGGTGTTTGTGTGTCTGACGCTCACCGGGCTTCCTTCACATGGGTGTAAGGAACAGACATTTCTTTTGTATTATTGAAGCTTTCTGAATGCTTTGTCCAGCCAATGCCTGTTCTGTGACAGAAGAGTGAACGGCCCAGTGTACACATAACATTTAGACAGTTTTTGCACTGCTTTGTGTTGTTTTTGATCTCGCCACCAACATAAGGCAAGCATGCCCTTTGCTAAAGCCTCAATTCAGGTCAATGGTGACGCATACCAAAACACGCTTTAGACATTAGGAAGCTTTTGCTTTTAATGAATTTCCTTCAAAAAAAAAAAAAGTGACAAAAACGCTGGACTTCTAAGTACAAGGTACAAGTATGTTAGTGCTTATGTAAAGCGAAAGTGTAATTTTTTTTATATCTAATGCAGCATGTCAGTAGCATTAACACAATGCGGGGAAATCTAGAGCAGCTGTGCATGGCAACCAATCAGCTTCTATCTTTCATTTACAAAGCTTAACGGAATAAGTTAAAGATGGAAGCTGATTCGTTACTTTGCATAGCTGCTCGTTTTAGTAAAATCCCCCCTTTGTGTTTTGTTTATCCGAGTCCCCCATAACATAGTTTATTAGCTGTTGATCCTGCCATTATATATGTTATTTTTTCCACTTGTAACGCAATGATGACGTTCATTCTTCAGTGAAATCATGCAACAGTGTTGTCACCCTGTGGACAGGGCAGTCTTAAAGCGGACATTTTACTCTCAAGAACCAAATTCTACCAATGCATCCCTCTATGTATAATGATAAATAATAACATAGACCTGTCAGGTGTAAAATGTTGTGATTGTGAAAGACTTACACTTGGAGAGCATTCACTTCCTGCTTTGAAAGTGCAAAATGGCTTCAGTTTCCGAAAGCAATGCACACTGGGATTGCCTTGTCAGCAGAGCATTGCTGGGAAATCACATCTCAGTGCAAGGCATTTTCCTCCCCTGAGATGATGTGCATGGTCACATGTCCTAGTCACATGTGCCAGAAATCCAGGAAGTAATAGGAGAGCTAGTAATCTGCCCTTAGTAAACATGGCCACTGTCAGAAGACTGGGGAAGAGAAGAGAAATAAGAAATGCAAAGAATACAAAGCCGGCAATTATCTAGAAGTATGTGTGTGTAGATTGTCATTACTAAACATGTCTAAAGGTGTGTTTGTTGTCATTCTAAAGATATGGGTGAAGGTCCGCTTTAAATGTATGTGTAATTTTAAATGGATGAATCATATGTGTCGGTTTTAAATTTCCCCAAAGATGCATTTTGACCTCCAGCAACAGGCAAGATTCCACATTCACCATTCGGCACAATGAATAATTTGACATCCTTTATAGCAAACTGAATCAGGATAGGAAATAAGTACCAGCTCCAAAGCTGAGATTTTATATATATTTCCCAGTCTTGAACTCGGGCCCTGAAATGTCTACACATGCATGTTTCCTAAATCTGCTTTATTAGAACCATATTGTAAATGAAATCTAGTGGTTAAGAAAATCTGTACACATCCACAAGAATGTAACACATCATCACTCCTGAGATAGGTATGTTGATATCACTATTGTGTTGTGTCTTAGCTGACAGCTTTATAAAGTTTACTTAAAGATTTAGCCGCTTTATTTTATGTTGATTCTCTAAACAATTGGCCACTGACAGCCATCCAGCTCTGCAGACCTGTTCTCTAAGTGCATTAGGGAGTGAAGAAAACGTTCTCATTTTCAAGTAAACGTGTCATAAATCTGTGCAGTACATAAGCAGAGGTTACCTTTAGTGAAAACCACATGTCAAAACAATCGATAGATCTGCGGACAGAAGGGAGCTGGATTTCAATGCAAATCTCAACTTTTCCTGTTAGAAGTATAGCCCGCTCCACCCCATGAATTACCCGATCAGCAAGGGAGGCCACCCTATACTGTAAGGCCCCATTCACACCAGATCCGTTGCACTGTTTGGCATCCATTTATTCAACGGAGGCTAATGCAAGGGGAACGAAAGATGTATAGGTGTGAATGGGGCCAGTTCACACTGTTGCGTTGCAGTGTGCTGAAAAAACAGAGCATGCTCTACTTTTATCAATGCAATGCGTCAAAAATGCATGCTCAATCTTAGAGAGGAACTCCTGCACTCCTTACTGGAAACCCCCATGTACAAAGGAGGGTGCTGTAGTAACCACGGATGGCGCAGTGTATCTTCAGATATATAGAGAGCGTCACCAGCACACCTATGACTTGTGTCAACAATCCATCTTCTTTATTGAGGCAGACTGTCAAATAACAATGTTTCGCATGCACAAGAAAAAGGCAATACAATGACGCATGTCCACTCAGGACATGTTATTTCACATAAAAATTGCCCAAAAAAGAAAATAAATAGAATGCAATGCAACGGAAGTAAAATGGGGGGAAATCAACGGAACCTCTGTTGACTTGCGATTACCTTTTCAATTTTGGTGTGAACGGGCCCCAAAGGGGCAATAGGGAGACAGAGTGTGAAAATCTGAATATGTTAAAGGAGCTGATTTCTCCACTTCCAGTAACCGCTGCTTATGTTTATCAACAAAGTCCCAGAAATAGATATGCAGTCAGACATCGTACTAACCACTTCCATTTTCCTAGTCTTACCTCCACTTTCCAGTTACAACAGACTTAACGCTGAGCGTATGGCCAGCCTCTTTTCTTACTCAGCCTCACATCGAATCATCAACTTTTGTCCTCACAGGGCCACACAGAGCTTGAATGTGGGCCAAATCAGCAGTATGGCCGAGCCGTGTATAGTCCGCTTTTATGTTCTCACAAGTAATCACAACAATGAAGGTTTAAGGGCCCGTTCACACATAGTGAATGGGCCCTAAATCTATTGAGGAAACCAGCTTCCAATAATAATTCTAGAATATATACACATTTCTAAGACCCTACTACAAATCTCAGCATGTCTCTCGCTGACAAGGTATTGGAATTTCACAACAAGGGCAATTCACAAACTTCCTAAATTGGTTTTAAAACATTAATATGTGTATAGACATGCTTTAAAGGCACAGTCCACCGTTTGGACCATGCAACACCCATATTTAGGGTATACCACGAAGCATGGCAGTATATGACAGGCCAAAAAAACTCACTCAACTCAACCAGCCACGTCATCTTTTCACATGGATTGCTGAATGAAAATACTATCAATACCTCTGCGGCAGAGGGACCCAGCTGAGCAGTGATGTCACTGCAATTGTAGTTCATTTAACACTTCCTCCAGCCCCATAACAGAAGGTCCATACCGCAACTGACCTTGGGCTGGGGTAAACAATGCAGGAGCCTGTGCACTGCACCAGCAAGGAACTGATTGCAGTTGTAATACTCCCCAGGCCTGAATGCAAATGATTTAATAAATGCACATTTTTTTTATTTTATTTTAATTATGGTACATTTACTAATTTTTACAAAGAAGGTGGACTATGCCTTTAAGCAAAGATATTCTCACCTCCTTTAAAAGGAGAACTATATGGTTATGGCTTTTCCCCATAGTTCTCCTTAGGGTAACGGGAGGACACAAACTAGCGTCCTCCCATCACCCTAAGCTCAGTATACCGCGAGCTACAGCTCGCGGTATACTGAAACGCTGAAGCGACAATTATGTCTGGATCCGCCCAGCTGCGTGAGTGACAGCTGGCTCTGCATATCTAGAGGCAGACCCAGCTGTACACGCCCCCTCCCCCGTCCGTTCCGCCAGTCAGCGCTGGAGGATGGGAGGGGGGAATCCAGTCCCTCTCCTGTCACGGCAGAGAGCCGTGACAGGATCGAGAAGTGAGCGAACGCCGGTATGTGTTCGCTCACTTCGCGATCTACTGAGCCGACCTGTGACAGTCTCATTGTCACAGGTCGGCTAGAACTATGAGGTGAGTGGAAAGCACTCACCTCATAGTTCTCCTTTAAGTATCCTGTAAAAGAAAAGTAAACATCCTATCGGAATACTGGAAATGACGATCACTAGGTATATACAAACGGGGTATTATTAAAGTACTTCTCAGGTTAAGCAGCTTGATTAGGGGGAGACCTGCTGTGACAGTACAGACGGCCACTCCTGTTCTCCTTCTATAAATACAAAGTGCCAGGTTGTTATTCTGATCTTCTCTCTTCAGTGTTCTGCATCACTGAACAAATACAAGTATGCAGCAAGTGTAGTTCTGAACTCTTGGCCAGCATATACCTTTCAGGTAAGTGGCTCTAAACATACCGGAGATCGGGGATCAGAACAACAGCCAGGTTTGTCAACAGTGATCGCTTTCATATTAAAAACTGCTAAGCACTGTTTATTGTCGCCATAAAAAAACTCACACTGCAGTTTGGAAAACACAAGACGTTCAGCAAAAACAAAAATAAACCGTGCCTCCAAAAGTCCGGCACTTGTAAAAGGATCAAAAAGGGGATGACCTCCATGGGACACTGAGAGGTCACGAAAGCAAAAAACATATGTGCTAGGCGCGTCACGTTGCCATTCATTTCAATGGCACCGCAACACCCCTCCCTGTAGCCGTGCGCTGCAAAGCAACACGTTACCACGGTGAAAAAAAAAGCAATATAATTTTCTCTCTTTTGCTCTGTGCAAGCAATACTATCATCATGACAGGCAACAGGAACATGAATATATAAATCTGCCCCAGACACATACCTCCGTGCTAAACTCCGGGGTGTATGGCCAACGGCGGTACTGTGATCAGCTTGGAAAGCAAAGAACGGCCAGCGTGCTGATACACCAATATGGAGGAGGTACTTGAAATCACAGGTCACAATACAGAAGCACTTTCTCTGGTCCTGTAACAAGCAATATCAAGTAAAATTTGCATATCGCAATGCTGGCCATTCTTTGCTTTCTTTCCTTTCAATCTTCACAGCATATTGGCAGCATACTGGCACTTCTCCAACTGCATTATAGGCAGAATTTATCTGCACTTTATATTTTTCATGTAAGCTCTGCAGTTCCTCTACCTGTGTGCACATTTCATAATCAATTCCTGGCACCTGTATTGAGGTATAAGTAAAAGGCTCTGGGTGCGTCCCGTCTTAGCTCAGATTACATAGTCTGCAATTGTTAGTTTAGTCCACAATGCACATGGGACGCTTTCCGCCAGAGCCAGGGTTGTGTTCTTATTACAAGGCTATTGCAGCATTCTCATTTTCAAACCGAAAAGCCAACAACAAAATGTGCCAATGCTCAGCTTTTGGTTTTTTTTTTTATTAACTATTTCTGGTGCTTCAACCAGCGCTCTCTTGTAAACAGTTGGTTTATAGTGCAAGTATTGAGCTATTGAGATGGACTTCACTTTTACACAACAGGGAACCCAAAACGTAATATATTGCTGCTTACCAGTCCTTGAGGTGCTGGCATTAGTTTCAGTTTTTCAGGCTAATTTTCACCTGGCGATTCTGCCAGTAGCATACTCCGTCTTAGGGTGACAACCAGGGCAGCCATCAGAAATTTTGGGGCCCCTTACAAGGCTTTAGGCCAAGCCCCCCCCCACGCCGACCCCCGGCCCTGCTGGGCTTAGTGACGCATTGGATGCAGGGATTAGTGACGCGCTTGATGCAGGACCCACCTGAGAGTGACCCTGCAGAGCCCACCATAGATGCTGCACAGCCCATCGGAGACTCTCTATGGTGGGCTCTGCAGGGGTCTCTGGTGGGCCGGTCAGGGCTGCATCCCCCTCCTCTTTCCTGCTCCTGGTGCCTGTACAGCTGGCCTCCTCTGCTGCCGGACTGGCCGGAGGCGACGTAATGCCACTTCCGGGCTGGTCCGACATCAGACGGACTGGCCGGAGGTAACGTGATGCCACTTCCGGGCTGCTCCTCTGCTGCCGGAGGTGACGTGATGCCACTTCCGGGCTGGTCCGACATCAGACGAGCAGCGGCGCTGATGGGGCCCTAGCCTGTCTCGAGCTGCTGGAGCCAGGCCTCCTGTGGTGCTGCGGGGGCCGGCCGCCTCCTCGCCTTTCACCGTCTGCCAATACTTATGTAAGGGTCCCGGGTAGGCCCCTTACATGAGTATCGGCCGTACCTCCCTGATGGCGGCCCTGGTGACAACACTCATTTACTCCATTGTATTGTAGGAGGGAGCCATGGTTGTCACCCTAGGACAGGCCTACAGCGACCTCTTTTCTTCTACATAACATAGGTAGGCATGGTCCTGCAGTTCTTAAAAGGTAACTGGGAACAATGTAACTGATGACACTGCAGCACAGGCAGTTAGAAGCAGACATGCTCCTGCCAGGAGCAACAGGTATGTTTTTACATTTATCAAACTGATAGAACAAAATTATATTTATAACATACCTTTTAAACAGGTTTTGCAGTGTATTTGCCGATTCGGCGTTCTAAAAGCCTTGGCAACCGTATCCGTAATTAAAGGCCTATGCAGCTCCCCTGTTGGGACTATTAGAAAGTTTGGTCATGTGACATAATATTCAGCACCCAGTTTATTTATGCAGTTCCTCCCTAAAGTGAATGTTTGCTTTTGGTCTCCCATTTCAGCCGGTGACTAGTTTTATTTTTCCAGAGGACCCAAAGGGCAAGAGAGTGGCGTGCTCTGAACACAAACTATTTCTCCAGCAATTTCCCCCTGAAACTGGATATCCTTGGCAGTAAATTCTGTTCAAATGTAAACTCCGACGTGATGCTCTCATTCATTGTAAGCCCAGTTCACGGTAATTAGTGTTAAACTGCAGGCACCAATACAAATACCAAGAACAAGCAAGCCACAGGCCTGGGAACACAAGAAAAAACAAACACAAATTAGCACTTGTGGAAGGAATCAATTTTCACTCTGTGAGAACAGCCAGTCATTCAAGCGTCAGGTTGGAAAGCTTTTTCCCCCATTGTTGATTCAGGAAAAACAGGTTGCTGGGGAAATGTTTATAGAATACAGGACAATATGGTTCATGATGGATCCTATAAAGCGAATGCATCCAAAACTGATGTTACAGTGCTTGGCAGAGATGCTGGCGACATAAACCACAGGGACTCCTTTGATAAGATCTGTGTTGCTGGGTCTGCACACCTACTGTGGCCATTATGAGGGGGGTCCCTGTGTGTGTTGTAAATTTCTTTTTAATTAAAGATGGCAGGGGGGGCCTGGTTCACACCTGAGCGTTTTTCTGTGCAGATCTAGTCATGTGAAAACGCACAAAACACACATTTCCATGCAAGTTAATGGCGACTGTTCACACCCTAGTGTTGCGTCGCATGAAAAGATGCGGGAGCTATTTTCATGTGGATGCCGCGTGGTTTTGGTCTCATAGACATCTCAATGCAGGAAGAAACACGTGTTTTTAAAAGCAAATACAAAATCTCGCGAGAATGCCCAAAACTGAATATGTCTAAGGTGTTAAGGCCTCATACACACACAAAGCAAGAGCAAAATTGTATATTGCGTATATGCACGCATGCACTATATGCAATCCCCAGAATGCATTTCGTAATAGAAATTTTAATGAACTGTGTGTGCGTATACGTGCGTAAAATACGCAGAAATGTTGCCTGGACGCATCTCGGGTCCATTCTGTTTTTGCGCATCTTTACGCAGCGCAAATATATGGCTCCATGCGCAGCTATGTGTATGGAGCCATTTATTTGGATATGGGACAATACGCGCATATACGCAGCGTATTGTACGGCAGTGTGAATGAGGCCTAAACAAGCAATTCGGAATATATCCATAGTAAGCTATGACTCCGTGGGAAAGCAGAGCAAAAGTGAAAAGCTTATGAACAATAAAAACAGTAACATACCCCAAGTTTCTGCCGAGATAAAAAGTCTTCAAAGCTAAGCTTCAAGTAAAACATTCCAGGAAACACAAACAGCAAACACGTCGAAGTCGTAGATCCTGAACAAACAAAACATTTTTTTTAAACCTTCCTATAAAGCACATTTAGGGCAAGAATACAGAGCAAGCAACTAGAATGACTCTTTCACCTATCTACTACAGTAATGTGAATGACGTGGGTTGCTGCAATCTCACATAAATTGCTAAGCAAGCAAAATTGTGGATCACTAGCTTTGGCCACTCTCAGCTTTGGCATCTGTCAGGTTCCTTGAGCAGCATAAGGTGAGTATACAGAATGATGGTGTTAGATTAAAGTTAGGGGGTTAAAGTGATATTAAACCCTCCCTGGAGAAAAAGAGAAACATAGCAGCATATTGTTGTAGCATGTTTCCACTCCCCTTTTTGTGTTCAGCCACTCTGCAGCATTTTTCATGTTTGAAGCTCATTTCTGCCTCCAAGGGTGGCTCCATTGCCTTGCAGGTCTTCCTGGAGCCACACTGGACTGTGTGTGCCTGGCCGAATCTTTTTGTGCACGCTCGGACGCATACAAACGGCGTGCATGCGCAGTGTGGCAGAGGTCCGTCTCATTGCACCTACTCCAGTAGGGCTCTGTGTGTGTGTGTGTGTGTGTGTGTGTGTGTGTGTGCGCGCGTGTGTGTGGCCAGGGCCCATACTATTGTGTTCATTGTGGTTCTGTGCTATGGGCATGCATGTGCAGTGTGATGGATGGACAAGGAATTATGGGAAATGCAGTCCCAAAGCACAGTACACGCACCCTGAATGGAAGTTCAGGTGAAGTGCAGCAGAGAGGAGCACAGGCTGGAGATTTTTCAAATGGCAAATGTAAGTGTGTTGCACAAAATGAGGCTAAAGATATTTATTTAAATGTTAGTTAAATGGAGCTTGCGGCAGTAGATCAATTTGCACTATGGGGGTTTAATACTATTTGGTTAAGTTTTAGAGTTAAAGTGAACCTGTGCAATGCCTATGGAGGGCAAAGTAACAAGATCAAAGCCAGCAACTGTGCAGGTTAATACTAACATACGCTACGCCGCTGGAGACAAGTAGAGATCATTCTCTGTAAGTGCCATGATAATACGTGTGTAAGTAATACACATGGCTGAGGACTCTTCACACCATCTGTGACAGTGAGGAGTACTGAGCGGTCACTCGCCAAGCACCAGCGTTGTCCCATAAGAGAAAGGGGAGTGAACTACACTGACACCTCATACCTTGAAGTACTGCATATATTTCTTTGCTTTCCTGCTGCTCTGTTCATCCATTTGGAGCAAAGACTAGGTGAGTGTGTGGTGCTAGTGGGGGTCAGAATTAACGCAATCATGTTACATCCAGGGTATTGCTGATCACATATCTAAAGTTAAAACATCATCTCAAAGTGACCTCTGTACTATGTATTTATTACAGTTCATATATTTTCATTTTAACCAGTTGAGTCAATGGTAATTTTGCGTTTACAGCGAGTACTCACCGATTACACCAAACACGTTCCGTATATCTGGCACATATATGGCAAGGAGCACGATGGTTATATTTAGGCCCAGTGTCACCAATATATGGCGGATGCATGAGAAGGGATAATTGGAGAAGATCATCATCATGACGGCTTTTCTAGCCTGAAAACAATAAAGGAACAACGGTCTGTGAACACGACCTACGACCTCTGACCTCCTCCCTCCCCCCCCCACACACCTTCTCTCTATGCACAAGTATCCTCTTGTTCTTGGACAGCAATTTCCTCCCACCCATGAAGGTCAACTCCACTGTTCAGGTAACATATCTGTAGGATCCAGCTTAAGGAGTTATTTGAGCTGTTTAAAAGTAGAACTGTGGCCAGACTATGGACATTAAAATATTTACAAATTCTTATCAAGCAGTGAACAAGCTTTCAAAAAAATCCAACACTGACCTAAGCAGCTGCAGGCACTGCAGAGCAATTCATCCTCCAAATTTACAGCAGCAGCTTTCCATTTAATTTTATCTCAGAAGCTTAGCTTCCCCTGCCAACATTCTAATCTTTATACAGAGATCAGGTGGAGGGGGAAAAAAGAACACCAAGTCTAGACTTGAACAACTTCACTGCTTCTCTCTTGTAAAGTTTGAGCATGAACTGCTCCACAGTGGCTTTAACTATATGAGGAAGGGGTGGCTTATTTTAAAGCTTATTTACTGCTTCTTAAGAATATCATGATATTTGAATGTCCATAGCCTGGCCAAAGTTCTACCTTAAGAATATGCAAAGCTAACATTTAAAGCAAGCCAACCAGGAGGTAAAACTGACAGTGGTGAGTTACTACCAGCCAACCGCTTGCAGCTAAATCACAACTACAACAAAGTATTTATTAAACCATCTTTACATACATCTACCTCATCTTTATTTACTGTCACTGAATACATTTACTTACAGGAAAATGTATAAGTGGCACAGTCAGAAGTACAGCAAGTAGAATGGAGAGCCTGACAGTCATAATCAGAACATCATTAGGAAGGAATCTGCTATAACCTTGCAGCAATTCAGACTCCACTTTATCTATAAGAACACAAGACAATGGAGATAAAGTAAGTATACCACAGAAGAAGGTTTCTATAACAGACATTGACGGGTGAGGTGTAGCTAGTAAAATGCTTATTTCAAAAGGTCTACCCACCCACAACTAGTATTTTAGCTTTGGAAATATGCTGGTGGGTTAAATCACCAACTAGTACCTAATATCACTCAAGGAGAGGTCACTGCATCAGTGTTCCGACCAGCTAATACAATTACTAGTGAGTGACCCTCTTATGTTGAATTTGTCTTCATTTCACAATATGTAAAACACAACAGAAGCTCAAAGAAAACAAAAAAACCTTGAAGAATTAAAGTGACACTAAACTCAGGAGTAAAACCTTAAACATACATTCAAGTACCTTAACTATTAACAAAATGTATCTTTGTGCATCACTCAGCTGTAGATCCTCAAATCATCTCTGAATTGGTGCTGACACTGTCCTTCCTTCTGGAGGGGGGCTACTTTTGTTCCCCATGGTCCCTGTGTGTGTTGTAAAGTAGCCACCACTCCAAGCTCACTCCTGTGATAGACTACATTCTCAATACAAATTAGTAAACTAAACATGAGATTGTAGTCCATCACAGGAGTGAGCTTGGAGCGGTGACTACTTTACAACACACACAGGGACCATGGGGAACAAAAGTAGCCACCCTCCAGAAGGAAGGACAGTGTC